ATCCATTCTCTGTCAGTTTTCTCACTGCATTTGGTGCTTGGCTGAGTTCTTTATCTCTTCATTTGATGTTTTAGGGTTTCAGGATTGTTGTATTCTCTTTTTGGCTTAGTTTTTTGGATCTTTGTGGTGGAGGGACAGCATGGTGTTTCTGCCTAGAGCACCATTTTGCTGGAACTAGCCAGTATATATCATTTTTATGAATTTCATATCCCATATCACCTAGAATAATGCCTAGAACGTATTTAGATTCTATAAAGATATTTAGTTTTTTAATAAATATTGTGAGAAAATTATATGAAGAAAAACTATCAAAATAGTGGCTAGAAAATTCATAAAAAACCTCATAACTGAGACAATTTCCATTTGATTAAAAAAAAAATACAAAAAGCATGATTCCAACCAACTTCCTAGGTGACAAAGACCTCCTGCAGCGTTCCCTATGAACTCAGCAGCATTCTGCATAAAAGTTATGTTAATTGTTTGTACTGAGTTCTCTATATGTTAGGTGACTCTCCAGGGTAGTTGTCCTTCATATAATGACTCAATAATTCAGGTTTCTTCCATTCTCACTACCGAATGAGAAAAATGGGAAAGACATACAGACTTTTCATTACCTTACTCACAATTATTCATTACTCAGAATTCATTGGTAGTAATTCGGCTGCTAACCAAAGGGTCGGCAGTTCGAATCTACCAGCCGCTCCTTTGAAACCCTATGGGGCAATTCTACTCTGTCCTATAGGGTCGCTATGAGTTGAAATCGACTCAACGGTGATGGGCTTTTGTTTTGAACTACAGAAAAACCTGTTGCCATCGAGTGGATTCCGACTCATAGCGACCCTATAGGACAGAGTAGAACTGCCCCCATAGAGTTTCCAAGGAGCCCCTGGTGGATTCGAACTGCTGACCTTTTGTTTAGCAGCAGTAGCACTTAACCACTATGCCACAGTTTGAAATGCAGTCTTACTTGTGCACAGGAAGAAAAAAAACTAGATATTGAAGAGCACTACCTCATTGAAAACACCACCACCCATTTAGTTGGACAAATTAGGAACCTTGATGTTTTCATCTGCTTTACCATCTATATTTCATCAAACTATCACTTCAATTTTTTATATTTTTACCTTGTACATATCTCTCAAGTATCTCTGTGTCTCTCAAGCGTCTCTGCCTTTCTTCATCTCCATTAACGTCTCTCCGGTTCAGGGTAAAATGCATTTTGAACAGAGCTAGTGAAATCATCTCATAATTGATTATTCCAGGTACTATTTCAATTACTATGGCTGTATAACTAACCACCCCAAAACTTAGTGCCATAAGAAAACAGCAATTTTGTAATGCTCACAAATTGTATGTGTCAGGAATTTAGAAAAGGCACAGTAACAATAGGTTTTCTCTGCTCCAGACATCCTGGAAAGGGTGATTGAAATGGTGGGGGGTGACTTGAATGGCTTGGAGGGGGGACTAAAACAAATAAGGTTGGATAATCTATGTTCAAGATGACTTCTTCACTCACATGGGCTGGAATGACTTGAAGCCTGGGCTCAGCTGGATCGTTAATCAGAACAACTACATGTAGCTGCTTATGTTCCGATAGGAAGCCTCTGGCGAGCAAGCGTTTCAAGAGAGCAATGCAGAAGCTGCATAGCTTATTTGACCTAACTTTGGAAGTCAAGAAGTCATGACATAAAAGTCAATTGCACCACATTCTGTTTACTACTAGTGAATCACTAAGGTCAGTCTAGATTCAAAGGGAGGGGAATTATACTGTGGGAGTGTCAAGTCACATTACAGAAGAACTTGTGGGAAACAATACATTGTTGGGATCATTTTAATGAGATCTCCACTCAAGTATACTACCTCAAGGAGGCCATATTTTTTATCTTTTTAATGCATAGCAAGATGTGACTCTGTCTAGCACTTTTCAGACTTTTAAATTTGTCTGTTGTTAATTCTTCAATATCTATCTTCCTCCCAAAACTGAAAGCTCACAGAGAACAGGAACTGAGTATTTCTACACCGCTAAATATCTGTGCTGGATTGTGTTATAACAATTTGGCTACGGCTAGGAACCACAGGCCTGCTAAAAGTCCTCTTTAAAGTGTTAAAAAAGCAAAGATGTCCCCTTGAAGACTAAGGTGCACCTGACCCAAGCCATAGTGTTTTCAGTCACCTCATATTCATGCAAAAGCTGGGCAATGAATTAGGAAGGCTGAAGAAGAATTGACACCTTTGAATTATGGTGTTGGCGAAGAATCTTGAATATACCATGGACTGCCAAAAGAATGAACAAATGTATCTTAGAAGAAGTATAGCCAGAGTGAGCCTTAGAAGCAAGGATGGCAAGACTACGTCTCACATATTTTGGACATGTTATCAGGAGGGGTCAGTTTCTGGAGAAGGACATACTACTTGGTAAGGTAGAGGGTCAGCGAAAAAGAGGAAGACCCTCAGATGGATAGATACCATGGCTGCAACAATGGGCTCAAGCATAGCAAAGATTGTGAGGATGGCTCAGGACTGGGCAGTGTTTCATTCTGTTGTACATAGGATCGCTATGAGTTGGAACTGACTTGACAGCACCTAACAACAACAACAGGAGCCACAGAAGCAACAGCTAAACAAATGTTGTTAGATTCTTCAAAACAGTCTCTATGGGCTTCTACACAAGTTACCCTGCCCCCACTTCAGCAGCTTAGCTCCTTGAATTCGTACTTGAGCTCCCATTTGTCCATCTGCCCCAAAGCCCCAGGCCAAGGAGTTTCTCTTATCCTCCTACCAAGCCCTTCCATACCTTCACTTCCCCAAGAAGTCACATTAAACAGAAGTCTATTTTTATGATAAGGAAGTCCCTGGGTGGTAGAAACAGTGCTCAACTGTTAGCTGAAAAGTTAGCAGTTTGAACCCACCCAGGTGGTTTGAACCCACCCATAGGCACCTCATAAGAAAGTCCTGGCGATCTGCTTCCAAAAGGTCAGTCTTGAAAATGCTATGGAGCAGTTCTACTCTTCACACATTGGGTCACCATGACTTGGAATTGACTCTACTCCATGGCAACTAACAACATTTCCTATAATAAATCCCTTATTTCCATAAAACTTATAATGGCTCTGCTTTCTGACTGATAGAATATCCTTAGGACTTTGCCCAGTTCTTGGCACAAAACAGATGTTTGAATAATACGTCCACCACCCCCCCAATGTCATACCTTCTGGGGCCTTTATTAACCAGAACCTTCTGGAACCATTAATCGCTCCACAGAAGGCACTGGATCCCTGTGGCTCAGTTCCCCAGAGCTTGCCCTTAGGCACCCTTCTGAAGCTTAGAGGTGCCAAACTTTAGTGCATACTCTCCTGACTCTCTGGGACAAACCCAAATTAGGGGAAAAGGCTGGATTAGCAACTCCTCCCCTCTATTCTCCAGCTCTAGCCAAAGGCCGTCACTCCAAGGAGATCTCTTACACCTTGTTTGCAGAGACCAGGGCATCTCTTGTGGTTTTGGCTACAGTAGCATGCTGGGGAAGGAGGGTGCTACTAGGAGCTGCCATTTCCTACTGGCTGCTGTCCCTGTGTTGCTGGTACATTCTTTGCTTCTGGATGCCTTTTTCTAATAAGAGTATATCAATTCCTTCCAGGCAAGTCAGCACCTGGGCTTTCACAATAAAACGTCTGCTCAAGGTCCCCATCAACAATGTACAGAGAGCCCACCTGAACTTAGAATGGCTCCAACAGCTTGGTACAGACAAGGACTTGGTGCTGATCAGATCCATGTTGAGCCGTTAAGGTTATTCTGGACATGCCATTGAGGCACAACTTGCCGAATGTTGTTAGTGAGCCTCAGTCAGGAACTTGGCCAATACAGACTTCTCAGACGAAGTCATAGATTGCAGGTCTGGGCAGCTGCCAAGGCATCAGGCTCCCTGTTTGCCCCTCATGGTCACATGATGAAGGAGGGACAGGACACCAAGAGGTCCTCACTGTCTCCTCCCATCACTTTCACTCCCTCTACAGTGGCCACTGGGGGATCTCCCCTCGCCAAGTGCAGAGGATTCATCCACCACCACTGTCACAGTGTGGATGCCAGCAGGGGCGTCACCTCTGCCATGGTGGTCATACACAAAGGGGCCCTGGTGAGAAATATTTCTTTAATTAATAAATCAATAAAGATCAAGAAATTTGTTGTGATTTGTTCAAAAACGGTGGGGGGGGGTGTGTGTGTTAGCAATATCACGTGACTTTTTTTTCCTCTCTAAAGTTTACTTTTAAAATTATATGCTAGAATTGAAATACAGGAGACTAGATTAATGCTATGATATCTCTGCAAGTGTGGAATAATCTCTGAATGTCTAAAGGATTAACCTTCCAATCATTATCCCCAATAGAAATGGAACATAAACACACTGCAGTAGATGTGCTGCTTTGTTATCTTGCATGGTCCAGGATTGCTCTCACATAACCTAATCCTTTCATCTCCGAAGTCCATCATTCTCTGAATGCTAGATAGGTTATTCTCATCCATAAGACAATTTTTCTGACATGCCTAGTGTGAAGAGTGAGATTGAATGTCTTTATCTCTGAATGAATCCACTATCTTTTCCCACCTACCTTTAGCAATAAAGGAGGACTTTATAGACAAGGTGATTGGGTTTTCTACCAAAGATAATTCAGATTTTTGTCCCACAGACCAAAGAAGAATCAAAGAAGAGAAATTCAAATGAGAGTACATTATTTATTATCTACCATATTTATGAAATTAAATATTTTATTATGTATTACTTGTTGAAATGGGATATAGATTTATTAACTGATAAGATAAAAAAACAAATTACAGGTAGTTACCCATTAAAAAAATAGAAGTTAAAAAAAAGTATGAATACATCCAGGGAGCTGTGATTTGCATGAGCAGATGACGATAGCCGGAGTAATTCTGGGTTTTATAAGATATCTGTAGAGAACTTCCAGTCATGAGTTTGTCTCTGAAAAATACCTTCTTGGAGTTCTGCACTGTCTTGGCTTGACTTCTTGTCTACAAGACAAAAAATTTTTATGGCTTCACCCGAAATGATGAAACCTATTTCTGGCTGCTATACTTCAGTATGCTCTATCTGGCTCAAACCCATTCACTCACTATCCATTCAGTAACCATTTGCTTTATCAGGCAGGGCAGTAGGTTCTGATGATAACAAAATGAGTAAAATCTTGGCAAGTGCCTTTAATAGCAAACAATGTCTGCAGCACTCACGTCTCAGTATATATACACATCCACAATTACTTCCTTTCTCTGAGAAAAAATAGAAAAAAATGCCTCATCTCTGACTTCATGATTATATTAGGTTTGAAGACTTGAAGACCTAGCTCAACCACAAAGATTCTCTTTTAAAGAATTTGGAATTAGGACTGAATGAATCTATTTCTGTCTGGCATTTTACTTGAATTTAAGTGATATTTTCTGGAGAGATATGGGTAGAATGATATTTAATTACCAGGGAGTAGAATGAAGTAGACATTTATTCTCATGTGATTAGATTAGGCCCATCCAGATAACCTGCCTTTTGCCATAAAAAGTAATGTAATCACATGAGGTATATCATTTTCACAAGTTCTACTTGAACTCAAAGAGGAGGGGATAATAGAAGGCCAATGGTCATTGGGGGCCATTTTAGAATTTATTTTACCATACTGCATGTATCCCAAGTTCCAAGAAGAGTTCCTGGTGCATTTACTGAATGAATGCAAGAATGAATGGATGGTTGACAATTCCTGCAGCATAAAATGCTGATATAGGGAACTTCATAAGACTAAAGTCCTGTCTGCTTAGCACAATGTGCAATCATTACTTATCTGGACTGGTCCATCTGGGCAAGGCACGAGATGACAGAGTTTCCCTTGACTCTCAAATCCCATGAATGTATCTAGAGAATCTCTTTACTCAACTCCAATTCCAGTGGACCAGCCCTCATAGAGACTAGAAGAAGAACACATTACCCACCACCTTCTAATCTTAGCATTTTCCTTCCAGCTTGATTCTTCCTCTCCTCAATACAGATATTCATTTTCTAGCTAGACCTTGTCCTTTTTTATTGAGTTTATTCCCAGTCTTTGGTCAAAGGCTTCAATTCTTTTCCCTTCCTTCAGAACTAAGATATTTCTCAAAAACCTGAGAAAGAGTAGCTTATTGATCGAGGGGAAGGGTAGACAGAGGGGAAGTAAAAGATCAAGGAGGAATTGAAAATAAGAAAGGGAAGTAGCATTAGTTAATATTTATAACATATTATTACTCCACTCCATTTTTGAACTCTTATTTCACTTTATTATAATTATATGTTCACATGTCTGTCTCTTCCTCTTATACCGTGTGATCCTTAAGGGCCAAAACAGAGATAATTGATTTATCTCTTTATTTCCAGTTCCTAGCACAATTCATAGCAGTAGCCCAATAACTTCTTGCTGAATAACTGAATGATGAATGCATGAATAAAAAAAGATAAAATAGAATATGTATACATATATTATTCAATTTAATGTAAAACTATGCAGCCAAACAAAAGATACCAAGATTTCAAATATCTAGGCAGATAGCGATAGTCAGAAGGGAATTTCAGATAATTTTGCCACACAAGAGAATAGACAGCTTAAAGAAATATTGATAATAACTTTTATCTTTTCTACTAAAGTAGTTTCAAATATGATCAAAATATTTAAGCACTGTTTCGCTATACATTTTCATGTGCCATTTACCAATACGAATCAGATTATTAAATGCAAACATTCTTTCTTGGATTTCAAATGCATATATAATACACTCCGAAAGTTATAAATCTGCCTCAGTTGGTTTTTGATATCTGCTAGAGGATGTTCACATTAAGATAAATGGATTGTCATGTTTCGAGAACTGTTTAGCTTCAATTTTAGGAGACCATCTGTTCTCTGATGAATGATTCCCTGTATAAGACTGGGCATGTTGTTTTAGCTCTTTTTTAAATAAATGCCATAGCTAATTATTTTTTTTTAAGAATGCAGTTCTCAACCCCTCCAACTTCCATGGCCTGTTTTGAAGATAACTACATAAAGGGCTCATGCCCACATAACAGTTTCTCTTATGCAAATACATTCACCCAACTGAGGGAAAATATTTAATAGATGGAACTTCAAATATTCTTGACTGAATAATGCCCCTCTCTGTCAGAAAAACTCACTGTCTTTGAATAACCACATAGCCTGAGGCAAAAACATTGGTCAGGAAGAAAGGTGGGCCAGCTGATCTTGTCTTGAATCAACCATATTCATCCTTGAGAGGAGAGATAGCAAAGTCTTATCATCCTCATATTTGTTTAGACACTGCTAGCCTGCATAATCAGAAATAGAAAAACAATAAAAATAATAAAATAGAAACACACACATAATTGCTATATAATAATCCACATGACTTTTTGAACTGGTGGTTGCTAGTTAATTTTGAGGTTTTGAGCATGTATTCATATCATTCTAATTCTAGCCAAGAGTTCTGCACTCAGCAGCACAATCATTAAAGTATTTCAGTTGTAATTTGCATTTGAAATGATCAAGGAATCCTCTTATAGTATAACATATAAAGCATTCACCCAAATATTACCATATTCCCATGTGTTAACTAATTAACTAATTAATTCACCAGATAGATTGGTATTTTTTCCAAATTATGCAATATACTAGAGTCCTACGTTTATGAGAATTACAGGTAGGATTAGAGAGACAGTTGAGCCAAGTTAGGTTTATGGACATCCATCTTTAATTCAAATAAATCTGCTTTTCTTTTAATTTTATAGAATAAGTTTAGGTAAATCTACCTCTTCATCATTTTTCTGCTTTTAAACATCACATAATTTTAAAAAAAAGGGTTTCTAAGCACAATAACATTTATTTTTGTTAGATGCGATCAAGTGAAAACTGGCGACTATTTCCTACGGACTGAAATGCAGAGAGTGAAGAAATAAGCAGTTCATGGTCTCTTATCTGCCCTCCTGACCCTGACTGTGTCTCTTACTCTGTCCACAATGATGAGAACTCTACAACCATATGGAAAACTAAATAAATTTTACAAAACAAATAATCTCTGTTCCTGGAATCTCTGACACTGCAATGGGAAGTTTGGAAAGATATTTTGAGATAGAGGAATCTTTCCAGTTAACATTTTCCTAGTTTTCATGAAGACTGATATAGTCACATAAAACTGACCTATTTTCTGTGCTATGCTAAAGAAAGTGACTTTAGTTAACTAAATTAAAAAAAGGAATGTATTGACAGAATATGAAGTACATTAATATTGGTAATTACTAGCAATATTTGACATATCATCCAATCTAATGTAGCTACTCAGTAATATTTTATCACTTTCTTTATTTTAATGATGTGCAAGGCAAATTTTATTAAAAGCTATTTTCTGGTTTACTCAATGATTCCTTTGGTCATGCATTAATTAACTAATATGTAATTAATAAACTGCTTTTGTCCCTGTAGGAGAATAAAAACTTCATAAGGACAAGGATTTTGTCTTTTTCCTTGCTATACCCTTGGTTCCTAGCACTGATCCATGACATACACGTATCAAATGCTTAGTAAATTTTTTTTTTTAATTGTACTTCAGGTGAAGGCTTACAGAACAGTTTCTCATGAAATTCTAGTACACATATTGTTTTATGACATTGGTTAACAACCCCACAACATGTCAAACCTCTAACTTCTCAACCTTATTTTTTTGGTGAAAATACACATAGCCAAAGATACTCCGTTTCAAAAATTTCTACATGCACA